CCATGCCGAGAGTACCCATGGACAATGGCTCCCTCTGCAGGAGGAAGAGAGGATCTGCTAGAGGCCTTTAGGGACAGACTGGAGACAAAGCCCCATTAGAACCATTGCGCGCGCGCACACTCTCTCTCTCACTCATTTTCTATCAGGGAGAAACAGAAGAGCAATCAGATGACAATCTGTTATAAAGAGGAGCGTGATAAATTGTTCTCCTTATTCACTGAGGACAAGACAAGAAATAATGTTGCAACAAGGGAAATTTAGATTAGACATTAGGAAAACTTCCTAACTATACGGCTAGTTAAGCACTGGAACAAATTACTGAGGGAAGTTGTAGAATCTTTGTCACTGGAGGTTTTTAAGAACAGGTTAGATACACACCTGTTAGGGGTAGTCTAGATAATACTTAATCCTGCCTCAGTGCAGGGGATTGGACTAGATAACCTATCGAGGTCCCTTCCAGTCCTCCATTTCTATGATTCTATAAGGCAATTGGCAACACTGCCAAACCTGAGTATTCAAAAAATCACAAGTCAGGCCCCCCAACGTTATGAAGTGGATTAAAAATCAAGAGGTTTTTAAAAAATTAATAAATGTTGAGGGTTTTTTATGTGCTTTCTGGTTTCTGAACTGTTAGAATGCACTTGCTTCTCATTTTCAAGCTTTTCTCTACAACCACTAGGACTAGAAACTTACTAAAAAAAAAAAAATCAGAGATTCTGATATAATCACATGAATCCAGGAGCTGTGGATTTCTGAAATACATCAACTATTGCAAAAGTTAGCAACACTGAGTTGGAGAGCAGTAGGTGGTGAAGTGCCAAGTTCCTTTCAGCAGGAACTTGATTTTTTCAGAGCGCTCCAGTTTGTGCTAATAAAGTAAACAGAATTATAATATTAATTTGCAATTCTACAGCAGCCAATTTTAAAATCAATGGCAGTTAGCTGCCTAAATTGCTTTGAGGATCTGGGCCTTAGCATTTGTAATAAAGTGCTTTAACTATTCCTAGTGCTTTACAAACATGAGTTAATTAATCCTCATGACACCCTGGAAGTAGGGTAAATCTGTCAGCAAGAGGGGAGACCAAGGCAGAAATGCTAAGTGGCTTGCCTCAGGTCACATAGTGACTCAGTGACAGCTGAGATTAAAACCTAGGTCTCAGACTCTCCATTCTATGTTCTAATGACTAACCTGTGCTTTCTATCCTACACCCCCATTTTCTGATGTAAAAACCAACAAACCCACTTACTTTAATAATAATAATTAATAATTGGAAGAAAGTTGAACATGGCCAGGGGCCTGAAAGCTCTTGTGAAGGCACAGCTGGGCTTTGGAGGGGAAAAAAGGAGGGACAAAGGTCTTAAAGGGGTCAAAGACCCTAAAATATAATAAGCATCAAACATATTCCATATAGCGTAGGGCAGTGGTGTTTAAAGTCTTTTTCATGCTATTTTTTCTGCTGAGAACTCCTTTTCCTACTGAAAAGCTACATTACATAAATATCCCCAAATTGCTTATGTTCTCTCCTTCCTGCATGGGTCATAGGGAGGATTTCCTGCATTTCCCTCAACATGCTCATAACACTTGTAGTTCTGCATTAAGGTAATGATAACTATAATCAAATCTCATGCTTCCTCTGGTCACCTACAGGGTCAGGAAGGAATATTTTCCTTAATGCAGAATTGGCCAGATATAGTCTTTCCCCCTCCCTTCATCTTCCTCTTAAGCTTCAGGGGTTGGCTGTAGCTGAAGACAGGGACACTGGATGGGGTGGACCAGTGCTCTGAGGAGGTAGAGATGCCTGACTAGTGTGTCTTGCTCATATATTCAGGATCATACTGATCATCAGATTTTGGGTCATAAAGAAATTTCCCCTCAAGTCAGATTGGCAGGGACGTTGGGGGCGGGGGGAGTTTCCTTCCTCTGTAGTATTGGGCATGGTTCACCTTCTAGGATGATCTGGACATAACAATTCCCTGCTATTTCCCTAGTACAGTGGTTTTCAACCTTTTTTTCCTTTTATGGACCCTTAAAAATTTTTGAATGGAGGTGTGAACCCCTTTGAAAATCTTAGATATAATATACAGAGCCCCAGGCGTCCCTGGATCACAGCTTGAAAACCACAGTTCTATGGTAACAACAATCTTTTGGGGACCCCCGTTTTGTTACCTGTTCTGTTCATTCCCTCTGAAGCACCTGGCATTGGCCACTATCAGAAGACAGGATACTGGGCTAGATGAACCATTGATCTGACCCAGTAGGGCCATTCTTATGTTCTTATGACCCCTTAGACATAGTCTGTGGACCCCAGATTGAAAACCACTGTCCCAGTGAATTCCCTGCCATTGCAGGGCCTTGAATGCCGCATGCAGTTCTGGTCACCTCATCTCAAAAAATATATATTAGAATTGGAAAAGGTTCAGAAAAGGACAACAGAAATGATTAGGGGTATGGAACAACTTCCATATGAGGAGAAATGAAAGACTGGCACTGTTCAGCTAATAAAAGAAAAGATTAAGGGAGGATATAATAGAGGTCTATAAAATCATGAATGGTATGAAGAAAGTGAACAGGAAATTGTTATTTATGTCTTCACCAAACACAAGAACTAGGGAACATCCGCTAAATTAATAGGCAGCAGGTTTAAAACAAACAAAAGGAAGTACTTCTTCACACAATGCACAGTCAATCTGTGGTATTTGTTGCCAGGGAATGTTGTGAAGGCCAAAAGTATAAGTAGGTTCAAATAAGAATTAGATAAGTTCATGGAAGATAGGTCCTTCAATGGCTATTAGCCAAGATGGTCAGGGATGCAACCCCATGCTCCAGGTGTCCCTAAACCTCGGACTGCCAGAAGGGGTGAACACTTAAAATTGCCCTGTTCTGTTTATTCCCTCTGAAGCATCTGGCACTGCCATTGTCAAAGACAGGATATTGGGCTAGATGGACCATTGGTCTGACCCAATATAGCTGTTCTTATGTTCTTAGGGGCACCTTGGTCTCCCCTGTTCTTTTCCAGTGGCACACAACAGTTTAGTCCTGGTCTACATTTAAATTTAAATCAATCTAGTTATGTTGCTCAGGAATGTGAAAAATTCACACCCAAGTGCTGTAATTAAGCCAATCTAACACCCCCCCCCCCCCCCCGATGTGGAATGCGGCTACACTGACAGAAAAATCTGTCCGTTGACTTAGCTGCTGTCGCTTGGGGAGGTAGATTACCTACATCAATGGAAAAACTGCTTCTGTCAATGTAGAAAGCATCTACAGTAGGGAGCTGCTACAGTATCATAGCCCCTAGTGTAGACATGCCCTTAGTCTCCTGAGGACTGAGAAGTCTAACTAAAGACTCTGGGATTAGTATAGGGGTATCAAGGTTGATATTAAAACTGAACTATAAAATTCATGAGCCACTTTGATAGCACTAAGCTATATCAGACAGTATATCAGTCAGGCATTGGGGCACTTCTTGGATGGCTGTAGGCAGCAAAACTCCAATCCTGCTGTGACCCTAAGAGTCCTTAATGCCCACTGGCATAGGGCCACACTGTCTCTGATCAGACCCAACCAACTCACTACACCCAACACTGTGTAAGGTATCATATGAAAGCTGGTTATCAATATCATTGCCAAATACATGTTAACTTTATATGTGAAGTTATGAACTCCCACTATATGATGTTTCTAAACACATTTACAACCAAACAGCCTAGCCTAGATAAAGATGATGATAAACACCTCTGTCCTAGACGAAGGAATGTGGGTTTCTAGAAAGCTAATAGGTTGGAGTGTTTTACACTTTCTGTAGAGGCACCAAACCTAACACTTTCTCTGTGAGGGTCCAGGGAGAGGGACCGGTCCCTGCAGTAGGACGATTTGGAGGCAAATTCTGGTCTGGGAAGATACTCAGGTCAGCCTGCAAGGAGTAACCAGATTGGGCAAAGCCAGGGTGAGGCTGTGGGCTCCAGGCAGGGTCAGAGCACTGAACCCAAGCTGCACAAGTCACAAGATGATTACCGAACCCCTTATTGGCCTAGGTGAACCCCCAAATGTCACACAAGCAATGAGCTCCATAGGGGCAGAACACTGCTCCCCTGCCTGAGTTTGCTGTAGGACTAAGGCCCAGCTGCAACTGATCCTCCAGCTGGCACATTTCAAACGGTCAGAGCAGCCAGGTGCAGTATGCAGCCCAGGGCCGGCTCTGGCTTTTTTGCCGCCCCAGGCAAAAAAGCCTCCCGCCGCCCCACTGTGGCAGGGGAGGGCGCCGAGCCCGGCCGCGGGCCGCTCTCCCCGACCGGCCGGAGCGCCAGGGGGAGGGTGCCGAGCCCGCCGCGGCTCCCCTCTCCCCGGTGGCCGGAGCGCCGCGGGGAGGGCGGCGAGCCCAGTCGCGGCCCCGCTCTCCCCAGCGGCCAGAGCGCTGGGGGAGGGCGGTGAGCCCGCTACGGCTCCACTCTCCCCGGCGGCCAGAGCACCACGCCGCCCCCCTCTAGGTGCCGCCCCAAGCACAAGCTTGGTGGGCTGGTGCCTGGAGCCGGCCCTGATGTAGCCCCTTCCGTGCAAGGGGGGCAGGTAGAGCCAGGCCAAGTGGCGAACCTCCAGATCCTGATTCCCGACTCTCCCAGCAGTTTGGAGGTGTTTGGTGCTGCCAGTTCAGGTCAGCCTGAATTCCAGCTCTAGCCTGAGGTCTGGCTGCCATCCGCCCCCAACTGGCAGGGGCCTGCGTCCAGCTCAGGCCCCTCTCTGAGGGCTGCTGTGGGACTGAACTGGGTGAATCAGTTATTTGGGAAGTGGCACCAACGGTGTGGGCTCCATGAGTCAGCAGGGCTCGTACGGCCGTTACCTGCCGGCCAGGGAAGCGGGGGTGGCAGCCGGGCTGGGGGCTGCCGCTCCCCGAGCAGGGGGAGGACAGCAGCTAGAGGGAGCTCCTCCGGGCCGCCTCTGCCTGTGCGCCCCGGTTCTTTTCATAGGCTTCCAGTCCCTCCTCCCCGCCCTCCTTCCCCCGTGATGGCGGAGGACAGCGAGTCTGCGGCCAGCCAGCAGAGCCTGGAGCTGGATGACCAGGACACCTGCGGCATCGACGGCGACAATGAGGAGGAGACCGAGCACGCCAAGGGGTAGGCGACAGCGCCCGCGGCTGAGCCGGCGCGTCCGGCCCCGGCTGCAGCACTGCCCCGGGCGCGGGGAGAAGCGCTGGGCTCCCTCCGGCCCGGCTCCTTGCTGCAGCGGGGCCCGGGGCGCTGGGGCGGGGAAGGCAGCGCGGGGCCAGGCTGAGCGGCAGGGGCGGCGGCCCAGGTGCGGAGCGGGGCCCTGAGGCTGGCTGAGCTGGAGCAGCGCGGGGTCGCCGTAGCTGTTGTGCCGGGCGCTGGGAGGCGGGAGGCAGCCGTTCGCCCCGCGCTTCCTGGGAGCCTGAAGCGGGGCCTGCCTGCGGGGGGCGGCGGCGTGGGGCGGGCGGCGCGGCTGTCAGAGGGCAGGTTCCGCGCTGCGGGGCCTCCATGGAGGTGACAGGCATCGGTGCGGGGCTCCCGCGCTCCGCCCTGCTCTGCTGGGCGATACTTGCTGCCGAGCCAGGGTGTGAGCCTGGCTGTGGGAGCGCCCCCACCCCCAGCTTCTTCTGGGGCCGTCTTCTGCGGGCATCGCGTCCGGCCGGCTGAGCCCCTTGGCGGGAGGTTGGCTCTGTTCCTGTCCCAGCCCTCAGCGGAGGCACGAAGGGCTTGTGCTTGGAGATCACCGTTTGCAGCTGGTGGCAGCGTCTCCTGAGTTAGGTGAGCTGCGGATTTTTGCCTGTATATAAGCCCCGACTCACCCAGCGAGGCGAGATGCCCTTGTTTCCAGCAAGAGAAGGCCTTGAGTAGAGGGTGTAGCCCTCAGCATGTCTGTAAAGATGCATTGTCCTTAGGATAACTCTCGGGGGAAGGAGGTCAAATACTGGCAAATCCATACTTACACGCGATCCCCCATTAAAAAATCAACCTTAACCCCCAGCGCATAGTAGGATCTGAGATACCACAGACATTTCCCTATACATAGAATAGCCCTGTGAGAGAAACAGAAGGGGTAAAACGTGGCATTTTATTACCTTCCTGTTTAGGAAGGAATGGGATAGCACAGGGGTTGGCAACCTGTCAGAAGTGGGGTGCTGAGTCTTCATTTATTCACTCTACTTCAGTTTCGCGTGCCAGTAATACATTTTAACGTTTTTAGAAGGTCTCTTTCTATAAGTCTATAATATATAATTAAACTGTTGTTGTATGTAAAGTAAATAAGGTTTTTAAAATGTTTAAGAAGCTTCGTTTAAAATTAAATTAAATTAAATTAAAATGCAGAGCCCCCCGGACCAGTGGCCTGGACCCAGGCAGTGTGAGTGCCACTGAAAATCAGGTTGCGTGCCGCCTTCAGCACTCGTGCCATACGTTGCCTACCCCTGGGATAGCATCTATTGTGTTTTTATTTACCATGATTTTTCTACTTGGGGCCTCTCCAAAGCTCTTCTAATTCACTGTATTTCTGTGAAGTTAAAAGATGTCCCTCTATTTTCCCCCAAGTCTCTTTGTTTATAGCTTTCAACTATATCAATCAATGATCAGGATACACTCTATGGAGAAAATATGAAGATATTTTCAGGACTCTTGAATTATCCACCTCAGTCTTGTCATTCATTAAATGAAAATATTCTTCCTCATCAACACCACCTACTGTCCAAAAAGAAACATTGTGTATAAATCCACTCGTAATTAGAGTAGGGCATGAGTTTTGTCTCAAGTCATTAATACAGCAAGTATATTTTAGTGGTAGTCCCTTCTCCTTATTGTTCTTAATCACTTTCTAAAAACTCCTCTTATTGTAGATTAAACTTTGTCTCAAGTTTCTGGATGAGAAACAGGATGGTCAGTCTACTTATATACAGCCCTGATCTTGAAAAGGGATCCAAATGTGTGACCTCCTTTACACATGCTCAGAGTCCCATTGATTTCAGTGGGTCTCAGTGTGGACATAAAGGGGCACTTGTGGATCTCGCTCCTGGATTAAGGCACTGGGGGAAACAATGTTTTAAGAGTTAATTACATTCAAATTTACATTCTTATCTTTTGGGTTAGAAATATGTTAGCAAAGGGAAAAAAATATTGTCGCAACTAGGCATGGCCATGGTGACCTAAAATAGAAATAGGTTAGCTTATAACAAACTATATAAATATATTCTTAGTCATTAATTTCTTATTCATTTGGTAGACAGCATTTCCGTAGGTGATTATGTTTGAGAATGTACAGTATTTGTATGCTGTTTGTTGTCTACTGTCCCCAGGACTTGCTTGGTAACAAGCTGCTCTGTACCTTAAGTGTGATGTAAAAAGTCTTTAATTTAAGATTTAGAAAGACCGACTCCAGTTTTTCTTGTACTGCAACTTCCTCAGCGTATTCATGCCTTGCATACTAAAATAGCTGTGTCAAAAATAATTATAGTAATATAAATTTGGAATATTTAAAAAAGGAAGAAATTGTGCTGTGCTAACTTGGAGCTTTAATTTTGTTTGTTTGAAAGAAAATTCCAGCATTTCATAATTTCTAAATACGTTAAATGAATACCACTGAAAATACAGTATGATTGTACATTATTGTCACCAATGGGTCACACTGACATTCCAGGCCAGTTCAGTAGCCTGCTAATGGTTGTCTAGAATTTATGCTTGGTAACTTAACTGTTTGTGGTCCAATTTATCTTCTTTTCTTCTGTTTTTATTACTTTTCCTTGATTGATCTGTATCTGCCCTATAATAGAAGTCCAGCCTTCCAAGCCATTTAACTAGGCTTCTTCATAGGCATAGTGAGCGCAAGAAGCAGTGTTTAAGTAGGAGCAAGGGTACAATCACACATCCCTACATGTTGATACATAACTTGCAGCAATACGTGCAAAGCAAGGTGACTGCAGTCTTTAAATGAGAAGTAATATGGCCATGGACTATACACAATTCTTTTTGCAATCTGTTAAGTATATGATGAGTTCTCCACAGAAGCCAGTTTTTATGGGTGAGCAGTAAATGAAAAATAGGATACTTTCAGAAACTATAAAGTTTAACAAAATGAGTGGCTAGATCACTCCAGTATAACAAACAAAATTCCAACAGATATTCTATTGAAAAGCCATGTCAGAAACTAGTAACTGAAAACCCATGCTGTTGCATGGATGTAATTTGTAAAGTCATGTATATAAAACAATCTGAAAATGGCTCAGAACTTAAAAATTGGAGAGTAACAAACAGTGATTTCCAGTGATGATTAAACCTGGTGATACTTTAAACAGCTGTCAACCATGCTTGTAGCTGTTTCCTTTGCCTCACTGATTCAACAGACATTCTATGCTTCAGAGCAAAGTTCGGGGTTGTTGTGTGGGTGGTTGTGTTGTGCTGGGAGATTTATGTGGATGGCGAATGACAGGTGAGGCACTACATGCATTTGGGGTTATTGTGTGTGCTAGTTGTGCTGTTGTGTGGGTGGTTTTGAAGAATTGTGGCAGTTGGGCCATCTGTGCAATGTCACTCATACAACCAATGACATTGTTGCATGTAAATTAGCTGTAGAGTAAGAGTGATAGTTGGTTGAGTTACCTCTGATATCACAAAGGTCTAGGATTCCTGGCATGGCATAGATACATGCCTTATTGTCACACGGGTGTAATTTGTAAAGTCAAAATGGCTGAGAATTTAAAAATTGGATAGTAACATATCATGAATCCCAGTGATTGAACCTGGTGTTATTCTGAACAAAAAGTGCTAACGGCCATGCTTGTAGCTGTTTCCATCGCGTCACACTGACTCTCTACAGAATTTATAGGATTCAGAGTGACAATCCTGGAATCTTATTATCTAGATTACAGCAAAACATAACAGCATTTTAGCATTCTGCTCCAGAACTGGAAAATGCAACATCCTCATACAAATTCCCTCCTCTCCTCCCATTGTGATGTTTTTGCTTTTGATGTTACTTTAAAATTTGCTTTGAGATTTCAGATTAGTTCCTATTGCACAGATGTGCTATAGGGTATTTACAAGCTAACCTGGTGCTTTAAAATATGGTCATGTCAAGTGTCTTGCTGAGTTTGGAATAGTCTGCATTAGTGGTACTGAATATTTGATTTTATTGTCTCAGGCTTCACTTTTCTTATAGGGAGGGGTGTATCATGTGTCAGTTTTTGGTGTGAATGCTATGTAAATTAAATCACTTCTTCAAACTGTAGCTTGACATTTAAAATTGGGTCATACACTGTTGACCATAAATAGTGCTGTGACATAGTGATGGTGGGGTTTTTTTGTGTGTGTGTTGTTGTTTTTAATGTGCTGTGGACAGCAGATGACAGGGTAAGTATTCAGTAGAAAATAATACAGAACTCTCTAGGATGCAAGTGTCTGTGCCCTACACATCTGGTCCCATTTTCAGGATGCAAGATTATGTATGTTTTGTGATTCTCACGTGCTAATCTCGTCTTTCTCCCTCATCTCTGAAATTTGTTCTTGTTAGTTTGCTGTCTGCTGCACTCTGTTCCACTTCATAGGAAACGACTGTTTCCAAAACGGCTCCATTAGTATATGTAGTTTAAAATAGGATTAAATAAATTAACTCAGTGTTTTTAAATACAGTTTACTTGACCCCGCCCCCTCATTTCCCTTTCTCTGTAGGGTCTTTCAGTCTAATCTAAATGGCTCTTTGCATAGGAATTCTGTGATAGAAAGAGCACAGAGAATTTTCAATAGACAGGTTCAGAAAGATTGTAAACATCAATATGAAATGCTTGTATGAGTTTTTTTTAAAAAAACACTGTAATAGAGCACTAAGATATAGCATTGTTGAATAGCATCTTTATAAACATGTTTTTGTCTAAGAATTTTTTTAAAAATATTTTTAAAGAAATGTGTAACTATTTTAGTCCAGAGCTTGGCATACAAAGTCTGAGTCCTGGAGTGCATTCTTAAAAAGAGATTTGTAGAGCAAAGGGACAGAAGAAACACATTAGTTTAACATTCAGCTATACTGTATGTATGGCACTTTTGGTTTATTACTAAACTGTAATTCTTGAAGAAAGCAGTGTTTCCAAAAGTTAGCCCAAAAATGTTCACCTAGCTAC